TAAGAGCGCGTTCAGACTTCGCGATCGCGCGATCTGGATCGCGTGATTTGGATCGCGCGATCGCTGTGATCGCGCGATCTGGATCGCGCGATCGCTGTGATCGCGCGATCGTGCTACTGTGGGTGAAATTACACCGGGAGGGGTCATGTTCGTTCGTGTTCAACTCAACTCAACAAACAACAACAATAGTTGGACACAAATGGGAGAAAAACAAAGACCTAAAAAAATAGTGAGAAAACTAACCATAGCCATGAGATCTGTAATAATGAGCACCAAACATGAAAGCCGTTGTATAGCCTCGTGATTAAACCGTAGAACCGCTGCGAACAATAGCGATATCATCAACAACGGTATGAATATTTTTAACACCAATAACGTTGCCATTGTGAATGGGCTAGAATAGAGAAATACTTGAAAACACTCAGAGTGAAAAAATGTCAAAGAATTACCTAAAAACTGAAATAAAACGACTGAGAGTTGACGGATTAAATGAATTCATTGAAGCAAAGTTTCCAGTTCCAAACATCGTAGCCAATACGAAGCTGACACAAATCACCGCTCTTCTTAGTTCAGCGCCTGTGACTCGACTGGATCGCGACGAGCAGCCTACAATTAGGGATAGCTGAATGAGTGACTAGATTCTGGTATACACAAGTAACAAGAAGTATCAACAATTACCTGCATCTACAGACTGATCAGCTGGAAGCTGAAGAAATTCAGCGTCTGACAGATGGCTGAACTCGAATCGAAGGAACATTAATAAAAGTGGAATGAAGCACAATGTGAAGGTCGATTCGTAAGCAATCGACAGTAATGAATATGGCACAAACAAACAACCTGTAAACATATAGAGCTCACGAAATTATTAGCGCGCGTTTATACTTCGCGATACGACTGCTTGAATCGCGCGGTCGGATCGTGAAGTATGAATGCGTTCTGAGAACAGAATCCAGTGTAGATATGGAACACTTACAGATAAACCATATACTCCTATCTACAATTGTAGACGGTGAAAAAAGTGGCAGCAACATTGAAAAAGGTAATGAAAGCCAAGAAATCAAACGAAGAAGGGCCGGGGGCTGCAAAATTCAAATAATTGAACTTGGGAATAAAAATGGATCCCAATCTATTCATGAGAAGATTGAGCGATAAGATCTTATGAAGAAGAGGCTGTCCGCACAAGCAGACCTCTCGCCTCGTCTGCGCTCTCTCGACGGGAAAGTACTCTGTGCTGCTGAACGCTGCATGATGTTGCAGATTGAAGCAGAGACAATCTCTGTTGAAGGTCCCTCCCTCTCGCAATCACCATCTTAGCGCAAAAACTTCGAAATCTCAAAACTCAATTCGTCCCAGAAAAGAGGAAAGCGCAAATAACGAAAACGAACAGATGGAGTAAAAATCCCCACCTTTTGGAATAAATAGGACGAGACCACAATCAATAGTGCTGTTGTGACTAACATCACTGATAACTTGTATAAGTCATTAGTTTTCTTTTCCAGTAACGGGTGCCGAGATAATTTTCGTAGTATTATAGCTAGAAGCAGGGACGCACCAACGCACAAGAGCGGGATTTCGGATTTTCCAACATTAGGAAGGAACGGAAACGGCAGAAGAACCACACACATCAGTTGCCAGATCCTCTTCCTAAAAAACTGAAAAATTTGCGCAGTCAGATTGGATTTGGATGCTTTATATTTCGGCGCAGTTCGGCTTAGTGGGTGCAGTATGACGTTTTCCCATCGATCACTGCCGATCCTCTTGTGGAAATCCGTAAACTCTTGTAAAGCTATGCTGTAGCAGGAGCTTCGTTGACATTTGACAGTGTACATGTCTCCGTGGTGTGACTCCTAGTTCAACAGGACTTAGCAAAATGAAGTATCAAAAGTGAAAAATGCTCCTCCCAAGCCGAATAGCGCGCTGTATTTCTAACAGTTTAGCACAAATGGAGCTGCTACTACACGCGTGGCTTCCCTAGAATTCCACACGAGCTAGTGCAAAAAGAATAAGAATGCCAGTGTATAGGGACTAACCACTCCTCAGCTACTTTTGAGCTATACAAGTTCGGCACGAACGACAACAGCACGAACAATGCCGCCAAAAACCTACGCTCTATGAATATGATAACGTAAATGAAAAGAAGAATACCTGGAATAAAGAAAAACACAAGTTTTTTCAAACAAGCCCAGAATGGTGGGCACAAAAGGCCGCCGCTTATAGCGATCGAAACATTCGAACTTACTTGTTGCAATGAGTCCAAGGAAGGGTTGAAGCATAAATGTAAAAGAAACCGTGGAGTAATTAGTAATACAGTAACCAATAAACGAGTAGACATGTAGTGTCACATTGAGAACATTCTCAATGACAGAAACGAGGAAAAGCGGTAGTAACAAGTAGAACCAGTTCATTAGTGGAAGCCTGCAGTAAAGGCAGAAAACTGCCAAACAGACGAGTAGACCAGAAAATATCCTATTTGGAACCAATGTTTTTCGCGTGAATATAGGTACCGAGCGATCTCTGGAATGTATCAAATTAGCTGCAGAATTTCTACTGTCAGACCACTTATTTCAAGAGAAGCGGAGCCAAACCTCGTGAGATAACACCACACAAGCGCTATCCATGCCATGAAACAGCAACTGATCGCTGCTCCGAGGAATGCCCGATCATAACGGTGGTAGTGAAATATCGCTTTCTTTATGTAGGACGCATTTTCCACAAACAACGAAGAAGCAGCTACGAATCGGCTGGAAATTTTGGAGATACGTTGTTGATTCAGGCAAGACTGCACTCTAGGCCACGTTTATACTTTGCGACTGAAACGATTCAAACGATGGCGACCAAGCGCGCTCCACCGTTGATCGTTGGAACACTACAAATCCTACAGAATAAGTGTCCCAAACAATAACATTCGCAAGCGTATTGACCACTGGGATATATAGGTTGAATCTAAGTCTAATTCCATTAGATTGGTGTATTTGACGAAAGGTCGGTTGCAGCAGTCCAACAATTAGCGATGGTGTAAAGCCAGAGTCCGCTCAAATCGTGAAGTGCCAACTTGGCCTCACAAAGATAGGAAACCTACCGTAACTTTGCTAGCTTCATTATTTCTGATTCCAAAGCTTGCAACGCTTTCAAGCCAAATGTGTCGAAATCTTGGAACCAAAGACGTTTCGCTTTCTCCTCTCTCAGCACCAAGAACTGCTCTTTGAGCTGAACGAGTACAGTGAGGAGCAGATGTCACGAAAAATGATGGCAGAAAAGAATAATAGTGGTAAAGGCTAAAAACAGATCACTCTTGCCTGCAGAAAATTGGCGAAACTGCTTTTGAAGAGATAATTTGGCGATACGTCAAGGATTTGTGTAGGAAGAACACCCATTGAATTCACAGGCACAGCTACCCCAATCAGTGATGCAAGCAACGGTGTGAGATCTACCTGCAAAACGTTCTTCTTGGAAAGAATATATGTGAATCAAAAGCCGTAGCTTTACCTGAGAAATGGTACTCGTCACGCCTCCTTTCTGCACTCCAGCTCCCCATGCGATAAACGGGGTCAGTACCTGCGATATAAGGTTCTTGAAACAAGAAAAATACTATGAAGAGGAATGGATTGGAAAACTGTAATAGTTACCACACAACTGCCTAGATAACCACAGAACTTCTTTCTGAACAAAGATTCTACTTTTAATGTAAATAAGTGCCGAAAATCGGAATTAATTAAGGCTGACATTAGAGTGACGCTCCCAAAGGCAGCGCTGGTAACCAACAAGTTGGTGTGATCACACAACCCACAATTTTCTTACAGTACTCTACCACTCATAATGGTTAGGCAACTTTTTTTTCAACGGCAAAAAATTGCGCATCATTGTATTTTGGACGGCAGATTTGTCCACAAACGGCAGGATTGTCTTATTGCCTAACCCTTCTGGTAAGGCAACAATTGACTAAGATGAGAAAGGACATTGGTTTTAGAAAGAAATTTTGAGCCTTAGACGCTATGGCGAGGGCCAAAATTTCGCAACGCCAGCAACTGGCATGTGCTGATTCCAATGCCAAACTTCACTTTATTTGAACTTCATCTCCAACCGAGTTCTTCTACAGTTGAAGAAGCCGCCACAAATTCAAGTCAAATTAACCTTACCTTGTTCACTTCCCAAAATTTGCATCACCCCAATTGATGTGCCCCCTAATGGTGCCATGCGCACCGACGGTGCCCGTCGACGCCACACACAGCTCGCCGCGGCTGCTTGAAATCGCGGTGCTGCTCCAGCATGTTCATGGGTATCCAGTTCGCGTCACACTTAACCGATGAAGCTCAAAATTTAGGAACGGTTCCCCCACCCAAAGTCACGCCTACGTGCGACATGCGGTTCTTTTCTGATGCCTAAAACTCACCGATCTTTCTATTACCCTTCTTTGATGACGGACCAACATCAGCTTTAAAAAAAAGCCCTCGCTCATTACTACAAGGGTCTACCGAACTCTTTGTTTATCTTTGTCGCTTTGAACAGCAATTCAATGTAGAAAATGGCGAAACACTCAATGAAGAATAATTTATTAATCTCTATATATTTCTATAATAGGT